TATATATATATATATATATATATATGCATTTAGAAGTCATGGACCCATATATTTGGCAGATATGGTAATACAATAACAGAACATTGCAGTATTGGCCCAATTTGATGCGCTATATATCTCAGCTGCATTTCAGGGTGCGTTAAGAGTTCCTCTGGGGCCTCATTCCAAAAATACTTAACTGTTAATATGCAAATTTTCAGACATTATTAATGTAGCATTTTTAAGATATTGACCCATACATTTGACAGATATGACAATACTGTAACAGGCGAAATTGCATTATTGGCCCAATTGGAGGCGCTGTATGTCAGATGCCTTTGAGGGTGCGTTAAAATGTCCACTGGGGTCTTATTCCCAAGGCATTTGACTGTCACCCTGCAAATTGTAAGACATTTTTACTGTAGCATTTTGAAGTTCTGGACTCATAAATTTGAGATATGACAAAACAGTAACAGGAGAAATTGCATTATTGGCCCAATTGGAGGCGCTATATCTCAGCTCACTTTGAGGGTGCTTTAAAAGTTCCAATGGGCCTTATTCCCAGGGCACTTGATTGTTACTATGCAATTTTTCAGACATTTCTACTGTGGGAGCTTTAAGTTATGGACCCATAAATTTGAGAGATATGACAATACAGTAACGAGAAATTTGACACAATACATAAATGAGAAATTGCATTATTGGCCCAATTGAAGGCGCTATAAGTCAGCTGCCTTTAAGGGTGCGTTAAAAGTTCCACCGGGGTCTTATTCCCAAGGCATTTGACTGTCTCTGTGCAAATTCCAAGACATTTTTACTGTAGCATTTTGTACCATATATTTGGCAGATATGATAATACAATAACAGGAGAACATTGCATTATTGGTCCAATTTGAGGTGCTATATCTCAGTTTTCTTTTAGGTTGTGCCAAAAGTTATAGTAGAGGCTTGTTCCCAAGGCATTTGACTGTCCCCATGCAAAATTGCAGACATTTTTACTGTAGCATTTTGAAGTTATGGACACATACATTTCACAGATATGACAATACAGAAACAGGAGAAATTGCATTATTGGCCCAATTGGAGGCGCTATATCTCACCTGCCTTTGAGGGTGTGTTAAAAGTTCCACTGGGGCCTTGGAAATAAGACCCCAGTGGAACTTTTAATGGATCCTCAAAGTCAGCTGAGATATAGCGCCTCCAATTGGGCCAACAATGGAATGTTCTTCTGTTGCTTTATTGCCATCTCTGAAATTTATGGGTCCATATATTAAAAATGCTATAGTAAAAATGTCTGAAAATGTGCATGGTAACAGTCAAGTGCCCTGGAAATAAGGCTCCAGTGGGACATTTAATGCACCATCAAAGGCAGCTGAGATATAGTGCCTCCATGTGGGCCAATAATGCAATTTCTCAGTACTGTATTGTCATATCTGTCAAATTTATGAGTCCATAACTTCAAAATGCTACCTTAAAAATATCTGAAAATGTTCATGGTAACAGTGACGTGCCCTGGGAATAAGGCCCCAGTGGAACTTTTAACGCACGCTCAAAGTCAGCTGAGATATAGTGCCTCCAGTTGGGCCAATAATGCAATTTCTCCTGTTACTGTTGACATATTTGTCAAATTCATGGGTCCATAACTTCAAAATTCTACAGTAAAAATGTCTGACAGTTTGCACGGTGACAGTCAAATGCCTTGGGAATAAGACCCCAGTAAAACCTTTAACGCACCCTCAAAGGCAGCTGAGATATAGCGCCTCCAATTGGGCCAATAATGCAATTTCGCCTGTTACTGTATTCTCATATCTGTAAAATGTATGGGTCCATAACTTAAAAATGCTACAGTAAAAATGTCTGAAAATTTTCATGGTAACAATCAAGTGCCCTGGGAATAAGGCATCAGTGGAACTTTTAACACACCCTCAAAGTTAGCGGAGATATAGCACCTCCAATTGGGCCAATGATGCGATTTCACCTGTTATTGTATTGCCATATAAGCCAAATTTATGGGTCCATAACTTAAAAATGCTACAGTGAAAATGTCTATAATTTTACATGGTGACAGTCAAGTGCCTTGGGAATAAGGCCCCAGTATGATCTTGAACGCACCCTGAAAGTTAGCTGAGATGTAGTGCCTCCAATTGGGCCAATACTGCAATGGCTCTTCTAAATGTATTGTCAGTGTGTCCATGACAATGTCAGTTACAAACTGACAAAATGGTACAGTAACCATCAATGCAATGGCTCTTTCAATTAAATTTAGTTCACATTTATTTATATATTGCTTTTCATAGTACATGTTGTTTCAAAGCAGCTTTACAGAAAATGCATGTTTCTATGTTACAACACCACAATAGTCTTTTATGAGATGATATCAGAAAGTAGAGTTGGAAGAACCTTCAAATTACAGTATTTACAAATATCATATATGCATTTAAGCAAAATTAATGTGCATTTTAAAGCAATAACAACTTGATAATTTTGTATATTCATCCAGAGTTGATGTTCTGGAGTCCTTGGAGGGTAGGTGTCATCTTTTCAAAGGTGTTGGGTGATGTGAAGTCTTCATAAGACGTTTCAAGCTGGAGCTGGCATAATCTTTAATTAACTCGGGATATTGACATTTGTAACAATTGTTTGAATTATTATTCTAATTCTAATTATTATTCTATTATTCTAATTCTGATTATTTTAATTCAGTTTATTCATTAATGCTGTTGATTCATTACTCAAAGGATGACATGCACTAATTAAAGAATGATGTAATTATATTTTATGTGCCTTCTTACAGTCATTTTCACTGATATCTTGGTGTTATTTACATTTCAAATTTTTTTATTATTATTTTCTAAAAACAGACACAATAGTTACAGGGTGCCTAAAAAAGCGTGAGTAAGAGAAAAACGCATGATCCCTAAGATGAGCTGATGGCACGTTCTGTAATTAAATAATACTGTAATTATATTGTACGTGCCTTTACATCTTTAATGTGAAAAACTGGAAAAAACAGAAAAACCACATTGTCCCTAAGTTAAGCGTGAATAAGAAGCTACAAACGCGGAAGCGTCGTGTTTTTTAAGGTGGAACGGATAACGTCAATCGTCAAGCTAAACATAACTTGACGATACTTTTACGTTTTGTTCTACAATGTAAATTACACGTATCCATACCCAAAACACAAATATTGAAGGAGTTATGTTCATTTTTGAAAACGTATGTTTTTAATAAGTATCTAGATAAGAACGTTTGGGCTGTAAGTGTGTGCAGTTTACATTGTAGAACAAAACATAAAAGTATCTCAAGTTATGTTTACCACAAGCTTTATTTTACTCATTAATTGAAAACCCCCATTATAAAACCCCACAGGAAAATCTCGAAGGAACCCACGGCGAATTACACTTCCGTATTCTGACGTCACTGTTAGCCAATCGTTGCAGTGAGTCAATCTGCCATGCCTATTCAAACGGAGCGGTCTGATGAGGTCAAAACAGGACAGAATATAGCCTATTACTTCTAAATGATGATGTTTTTTTAATGTAAAAATCTTGATAACATTATAAGTGGCCCTCAGAGAACAGTAAAAAATAATAACCAAAAAAGGCAGTTCATGACCCCTTTAAGTTACTTTTATCATTCTGAATTGTTGTGTAAATGTGTTAGCCTGAATTACTGTAGGCACTGGTTTACAAGTTTGCACAACGAGCAAAATGTCGTCACACTTTCAGTTTGTTCTAAGCCGAATGTTTACCGCGGAATTAGCCATATTTAGAATATTATGTCGTCAGTAAACATAATCAGACAGTCAGAACCATTCAGTAGTTGTTCCATTTCAATGACGAACTTCGACTGAACGGAACGCTCTGACGTTCCAGCCGCTCAGAGCTGCTGTGGCATGCTGTCTCTATGGAAACCAGTTTAGTTGGTGCAGTGCGTTTGCGTGGTTTGAATATTCCTGTTTGCTAGCACATCCACAATATAAAAGACGTAGCTTTTATGAAGTGATCCGTGTTGCCATTTGAGCTAGATTTACAGAGGATTGCTTGAGGTGAGCATTAACTAGACAAATTGCACGGCGTTCTCGAGAGGAGTTTTTTCGACAGGCCATTTTTTTCAACTTTGTTGTCGTATTATTAGCGAGCTAACGTCAACCGAAGCAGGTGAACAGGTAACGTTATGTGTGACCATATTAAGCTGCAAATGTAGTTTACGCCAGCTGCGATCTGACATTTAGCACCCATCAGGAATATCACGGATCTTTTCTTCATGTGTCAACAGCCATATCTGGATGGTTTTATCATAAGCGGGGGAAGGATTTCATTTTTGATCACCAGCACGCGCTGACCACAAGCACTCGACATCTCGAGCTGCTCCATTGGGAAAAAGCGTACCGAATCCATCTTTTTCTCAGACAGTAAGCAACACATTTATCGCAGGAATCCCTTACTATGTCCGTCAGCGCACGCGCGTCAGCTGAAAGCGCGTGTAGAAACTGCACAAACAATTGAACACCACGCAAATAAATTAGTGAAAGATCAAGCTTTGCAACCAGTGGGACGCGTTTGTCGTGGGAGGACCATCCTCTCTTCATCAAAGACATCACATCAGTCATTCACTGTCAAGAAGCCACAATAATGACAGGACTTTGACACCCGCGTCTGGCACATTGACTAACACACTTAGGACAGATGTTTGTCAGGAAAATGACGCCGAGCCAGTCCAGTTTGTTTGGAGAGATAGATGACCTGCAGGATCTTACTTTCATCGAGAGACCCATACAAGCTGCAGTTTTGTCTTCTGTCTTTAAATGCTCGAGTTCTTTAAAGTCGAGTGCATTTTGTTTGGCTGTCAATATTTTTACCGTACATCAGCTTGGAAAAAAAAAATCTGAATTCTTTAAAGCTGTTATGTGATGGAAGTAGCATCAGATAATTTCTTCCATATTGTGACATACATCAGAGTTAAAAGATTATCATAAAAAAAATGCATGGCAGGGACTTGGTTCCATCTACTGTTTGTTGATTGGATGGATGGATGGATTCTCCCATCCAAACGGTATTTGTTGCATAGATGTAAAAAAACATTTAAAAAACATATACATTTATGTGCCATTTTTATTTATATTAAAAAGGTTATCATTTGAGCAAGATTTGAACATAAACCTCTCAAGCCACATCATCTCATTCTCAGGTAGGAGGCTGAGGCCTTTAGGATCGACAGTTTTGTTCTATTTAAAACTGTCATGTTTTGCATCATTCTATGGGTTCTAGATTGTTGAAATTAGTAATTCTCATTGCTCTTTCTTTCCACTTGACACTCTGGAAACTGTTTACCCACTCATCATCATTTACTCCACCGGCCTCGCTCCGTTCCCACGGCTCTCGGCCCTGCCCCACTTGTCACACTGTGCAATCCAAATGAATGGAAATTTAAAATGCTGTTAAAATACATAAATGATCAATTTAGGCCTAAACTTTTTGAGTGTATATTTTAATCTTGATATTGATATTTTTGTCGATTTTCATTTATGCATTCGCAGACACACAAAGCAACTGTTCTATCAGTCCTTGCATTCTCTGAGAATCAAACCCACAACCTTGCCGTTGTTACCATGACACTCCACTGCTTGCTTTGCATGAATTCTCAGTTAGTATATAGACATATTTTCCCATTAACAGTCTTGTTGGAGCACCATTGTTTTTAACGTGGATTTATAGAGTCAGCTTCAAGGACCAACTGCCTTCAGTTCTTGGTCCCCAGTCCATGATATATAGACACTGGTTTCTTGGTTCTAGAAAAACATAGCAGCAGTTGACCTGCTATCTGGTTACATGCTGTATGCTTCCAAGCTATGCAGAGATGAAAATGCTTGGACCAAATATCCAAAACTATTTCTTATTATACTTTTTGACCCAAAACTCAGACACTTCCCTATTTTGAAGGTCTGGTTTTGTCCCTTTTTAACCTATAAAACACTATATTGCTCCTTGCTTGTGCTAATTAAGTGCCAGAGTCGGTCCACAGCCCGACTCCCTCGGGTGGCAAACTAGTTCTGAGAACAATTTAATTGCCCCGTTCGCTGTCATTTGGCATGTAAAAGCAAGCTGCCAGAGCATCTGTAAGATGACAGGAAAGAGAGTGCTTGTTAAGAAATGGATGAATGGTTAAAAGAGGAGGTGTTTCTGATGTGCAGACACCTCATAGATTATGGTTACGCAAACGTGGTGCCATCTTAGTGAGACATTTTGAGCATTTTGCACACCTATTAATTTTGTATTGTATAAACCAATGTCATATTTCAGTGTATCTAGTTGTTTGTCGTCTGTGACAACTTTGTAATTGTTCTCAATTATAAAGCTTGAAAAATCCACATTGATATCAAGTAGCCCCTCGGAATGCCCAATTCTCGGACTAACATGAGGTTGCATGAGGCATAATGTCATGATTTTGTTATCTCACTGTCGTACACAATGATTTTTACATTTCAAGTGCTTTGCATGCCTTGCATTAAAGTGCGGCAACATTAGTGTAGATTCCTATTGAAATGTTCAGATTTTTAAACATGTCTGCACATTTAGGCTGATTAATTCCAAAAAGGTAATGGAATTTTGAGGCAATTTTATTTAGGTATTTGGACTTTGTAAAGCCTTATCATTTACAGGAGACACATTTGCAAAAATTGTATTTTGGTCCCTTTATCAGTGATTACCCTGCGATTCTATGTAGTTGAAGCTTGCATGTGTCATTGGGCTTAATTCGTAAATATGCTACACTATGCTACATAAATATTAGAGATGATATAACTCTGGAACTGTACGTTTCAGTTACAGTTTGAGTAGCAGTTAAACCCCCACTGCCTCTGATAAAGTAAGACTTGGCCAGAGAAGTTGCTGCTGACTAGCTTTTAGGTACTGTGAGTTTAGATGCGGCTCAGTGAGAGATTTTTCCATTCTGGTGTGCTGATGTCAGGAACAGCACTGAATGCTCACTGCTCTTGCTGAGAGTCATACTGATGAGGCTGCAGGATTTTAAGACATGCTTTTAGTTTTTTTGTGTCATGACTTGTTTGTTGGAATGACTTTTATGGTATTGTACACTCCAGGTGTTTGGTTAGCATGACCTCAGTAGCCCTGCGGGTAGATATCTGTAACTACATGATCTGGTTCTAAAAAAAGCATTGTCTACATTGACGTTATATTATTTAGATGATTTTTTTAGCAAACAACACTCTTCACATACCATTTACATTAATTTGTCAATCTTCAAAACATTGGTCTTTCTTTAAGAGCATTATGGAATGAAGGATGTGCACAATCTAGAAGAAAGTGTCATTTGTAGGGATGTGAAATGTAGGGTATGAAATATTTGTTCACAGACAGACTGCAAACAGCCTGTGCTCTTCACTTTCTTCCCAGCATCATCATTGGCCCTGTTGGGGTTGGAAGTATTAGAGACGCTGCCAAATGTAAACTAATTACTAAGTGGGCTTTGTTTAGGTTTCATTACAGTCCTGCTGGCTCAACAATCAATTGCCGACTCACTTCTTTTGGAGGGGGAGAATTCAAACAGTGTGTTACTTTTTGCCACTGCATGTTGCCTTCTTCCACTCTCTCTCTTCTAACTTTGTGTTGAAACTCGAGACGCACTTGAGCTCAGCTAGGGTTTGATGTGAATTGTTTTACTGGTCCCTTTTCAAAGATTCCAAACACAAGGTAAAATCTTTCCAAAATGGGCCTTTCTAAACATCTAAACATTTGTCTTATAACCTTCCATAGGAAAGGAAGCTAATGTTTTTCCTAGACAGCAATGAGATAAATGGAGAGCAAATGGAGACTTTTGCTTTCCATTTCGTTTTCAGATTATTTCTGAGAAATAGACCAATGTAGTCTCACATTAGTTTGCTCTAGAGATTCAAATTTGACAAAGTCTGCAATCAGCAGTCAGAGATTTCAATAAGAATTCAAAATTCATCAGATTCTTCCTAAATCAAATGATCTAAGACAGTGTAACCCACTTTTCAACTGTTGGTCAGTTTCAAACATTTAAACCAGGCAGGGTTAACCTTACAGTACACTCTTAAAAATAAAGGTGCTTCAAAAGGGTCTTCAAGCGATGCCATAGAAGAACCATTTTGGGTTCCACAAAGAACCATTCAGTCAAAGGTTCTTTAAAGAATCATCTCTTTCTTTCCTTTTTGTAATCTGAAGAACCTTCTTTCACCACAAAGAACCTTTTGTGAAACAGAAAGGTCCTTCAGATGTTAAAGGTTCTTTATGGAACCATTTAGACAAAAAGGTTCTTCTATGGCATCGTGAAGCACCTTTATTTTTAAGAGTGTATTTTTGCTCTATTCATTTAATTTTATAGCTCCATTTAATGTTAACTATTATCTAATTATTATTATAATTTTTTTATTTCTCTTAATTTTACAAGAAACATATCTGAGATGAAGTGATGATCTCCATGAAGTCTCTTGAGCTATGAAAAAGCAAATTCTAAATTCAATAAAATGTTCTACTAGGCTGAGGCCATTGTGTATCGGTCACTCGCCAGGGAAATCTAATTACAAATGCGAGCGTAGCTCTTTTTACTTTCTGACCACTTTCCAGCCAGTACCTGACCGGAGCAAACAGAGACTCGAGGCTCACGGCAGTGGAATTGTGTTTCCAAACCATTCAGCACCTGGTCTTTAGCTGATTATGTCTTTCGTCTTCATATAGATGCCAGCTGCTCTTCTCTCTGCTTGGTACTTCTGTCATTTAGTGTATAAACACAGGCTTTGCTGAGGTGCTGCACATTATTGACCATATTCAGAAAGTGCACAAAGCATGACCGCATTACTCTCTTCTTAGACATACTTGGCAGCAGGTCAGGCTGTTTCTTGGTTATTAAATAACCGTTTGCCATCAAAGGACACAGGAGGACAACCTTTCCCTGAAAAAGTAATGAATACCTGTTTATAGTTCATTATTTAGAACAACAGCACACATGAGAGACTGATAGACATGAGAGTGTTCAGAGAGAACGTCTAGGAGATTCAGCTGCACTAAGCTTCAGAGGGTTCTGCTTGAATGGTAAAAACAACTACAGCACTATGGTTCTATTAATAATCTGAGCATGTAGGCGTTTCCTTCACATTTATGGCTACTTAAACATTTCATCCAAAATAAAATGTCTAAAATGTTTAAAAAGAAAATTAAAGGTAGTAATTAAAGGTCATAATTGAGTTGTGCTCTCTTTTCTTTCTAGTCAACCTAATGTTCTTGGACTTCAGACTGACATGTGTGGGCACAAAAGTTTTGTTTATTAGTGCAATTAGAATTTTTTTAAATCTGCTGGTCATGTGATCTCGAGGGTTTGATCTACTTTATGTAGAATAAATAGCTTTTTTATTCATGTTTTTTAAAGTCTAATATGATATAGCTGATATAGTGATATAGCTCGAGTGTTCTTCTCTTGTGACTACATCTTTTTTGTCAAATGTACTATTAATTTCTGTCTAAAACTTTTTTTAAGTGGGCAAAAAAGACTATTGCATTTTTAAAGTTCTTTTAAAGAGATTTTTGTCAACTCTGTTAAAGAACTTTCAGAGAAGCCCTTTGTAGTGGCTGGTTGTTTGTGAATGTAGACATATAGACATAGAGGTGTTCATATAGAAGTTGAGGGGACGAAGGAAACTGTCTGTCTCCTAGAGACAAGATAATGCATCTACGGTAAAAACTAAAATTCAATGCTGGGCACAGCATTAGTTCACTGGCATTTAAACGATTTACATGGAAGACATTTATCTGATTCTCCTATGCAGTGAGCATCTTACAAAAAGTGCTTTGGCTTTACATAAGAGACCATTGTGATCAACAGATGGCTAGCATGCAACTCAGATCATCATCTTCTACTGTAGGAAAGAAGTGCTTTCTGAACAAATGCAAAAAAGTATAAACTAGTATAAAGAAACATACAGGTACTAGGCTATACAGTACATACAATAAAACAAGCCAACACCAAGTTGTTTTGTTAATTAATCCAAGTATTGTTGAAAGAAGTGAGTCTTAACCCTGCTTCTGAAGATTGGGATTGATTCATTGTTCTATAAATCAAATCAATGTTCTCTATTTCACTAATTTCACTATTCATACAGTCAGCAAGGAGTCTTCGCCCACCTGTGAAGAAAAACAGTTCTCGGTTACCATAGTTACTTGATGTTCTAATCGGGAACATATCTTTTTCCCCATTAGATTTGGCTATTTTTTTTAAAACAAAAGCATTCCAAAAGATTTATGTCAGACCCTGTTCCGTGTTTTGTGTGTTTTGCTCCCCAAGTGTTTCCTTATGCCCTTATTTGGTCCTTCCTGTTCCCATTATGTTCCCCGATTAGTTCTTCATTTTTTCCCAGCTCTGTTTAGTTATTATCCTCATTCCCCTGTGTTTATAAGCCCCAGTCTCTTCAGTTTGGTTTTGTAGGGTCCGGTGTTGAATGTTTGTATATGTCTACCCTTGCTACGTGTGTTTTCCTTGTTCCCTGGATGTGATTAAAACCTATATGTTTGAATTCCACTCCCCATCTCCTTGCTCCTTCATCTCCAAGCTCCTCACAGTAGTGAACCGTGACAGTTTATGTGTACAAGGAAATTTACATATTCAAATAATGGAAAAAATGTAATACATATTTTAAAATTATGCATGACTTGACTTTTTGCTGAGTTAGAAATTCAGTAACAACTCCATAAAAGTCAAATAGGGACCTCATTTTTTAATTTTATAATTACAGTATTATTTTCAGAAGCATTCAGCATATATTCTTTTTTTTTTTCAAGAATTGCACTTAGGAACATTCTTACAAACTTTCTTATGAAAATGTATCTTAAGAAATTTCTTAAAGGGGTCATATGATGCGATTTCAAGTTTTCCTTTCTTATTGGAGTGTTACAAGCTCTTCGTGAATAGATAAGATCCCTAAAGTTGCAAAGACTAAAGTCTCAAACCCAAAGAGATATTCTTTATAAAAGTTAAGACTGGTCCACGCCCCCACATGTCTACGTCACAGTGTGGGAAGATTTGCATAATGCCGCCCAAATGTTCACGCAAAGAAAGAAGGCGTAACTTTATTGTTGCTGCCACCGCCGCCACCATGTTGTGGAGACGCTGTGTGTTTAGTTGCGAAAGCGAAAATACTTTGTTTGGCCTTCCAAATGAGGACACGACTAGAAATCAGTGGTTAAGTTGTATTTACAACACTGTTCCAGAACAGTTCAACCCAAATATTCAGATGTGTGCAGTGCATTTTATGGAGGACTGTTTCCTGATCCTGGTAGAGTAGACTACAATGCTGGCTGTTCTGACTCTCAGTCTGTAAGTACGCTTTCATATTTAAAGGATTTGCCACTGATGATTCAAATGCGAGTTTTGAGTAGCACTTGTTTGTCATTTTTCCGATCACAACATGGTTTTATGTTTGCGCAATGCAACGCAATGCGTAAAAAGACAGTATAAATCATTATAATCCGTAATTATGTCTCCACTGGACAAAACAAAACAAATGCCTCGTTTATAATGGGTTTGAATGTTTTTGTCTCGTCGCTCCGGAACACGGCATCACAGTATGGTGAGGGGCGTAACATTTCTGTCACACGCTTGAGGTATTCGGCCAATCACAACGCACTGGATAGCTGGCCAATCAGAGCACACCTCGCTTTTCAGACCGATAAGCTTTGTAAAAATCGACGCGTTTCAGAAAGGCAGGGCATAGAGGAGAAACAATAATGTACAGTATGTGGAAAATAATGTGTTTTTTTAACCTTAAACCGCATAAACACATTTCATTACACCAAATACATAAAGTAATGTTCTTTTTAGCAACATCATATGACCCCTTTAACTTATTTCTTAAGAACATTTTTTTTAAGGATACAATTGAATAAAAGAAGTCAAAACAAGACTGCTGTCAATACAAGCAGTTGAACATTAAGACTGGAATCTTACATCTGAACAAGTGCATGTCTGCAGCAGACTTTACTTTTCATATTTTAAATAAATGCAGTACATGAATGTAGCACATAAAATAAGATAAATGTCAGACAATAACTTCTGAAATACAGCAGAACTACAGCCATGTTATTAATATCACCAGCCACTTTTCTATGTTGTTCAGTTCTGGTGAGGATGTCCAACGGGCCAGCGTGATCATCAACCTGCCAAACCTGGTGCGTCAGAACCCAGCAGAGACATTTCGCAGGGTGGTGCCAAAAGTCAGGGTAGGCCAAACAGTACTTCATTTATTGCTTTTTGTTGTTAAGATCCTTCTATGACTTCTTGGTGTGTGCTGTTTGTGAATGATTATACAGAGCTCCTTCTTCTACCCCAACAGGAAGTGCTTCATGTAGCTGGGGCAGATATGCAGCTTGCCGCTGCAGGATCTTTCCTGACCGTCCTCCAAGATGACATTGTCCTCATCCAGACACACACCCACTCAATCTTGCAGATAGTTCTTCTGAATCTCGACCACAGGGACACAGGTTGCCTTTTATTTGAGAAAGCTTGAAAAGCACCTGTAGAAAGTATATACAATAAATGTGATGAATTTTTGACTTGAGATTTTTTTTCAACATCCTCTATGAAATGACTGCTTGAATGCATGAGTCCTTATTATTTGCAGTCTTGTGAGTGGAGTACAATTGAACAAACACTACCATTCAAAAATATGGGGTCAGTATTGTCCTCTTTTTTATTTACTTTTATTCAGCAAGGATGCATTAAAATGATTAAATGTGATAGTAAAGACATTAATAATGTTACATAATATTTATATTTTAAATAAATGTTATTATTTCATTTCTGTTTATCAAAGAGTCCTTAAAAAATATATTGTGGTTTTCACAAAAAGCAACACAACTAACTTTTGATATTAATATGAAATGTTTCTTGAGTACTAAATCAGCATATTAGAATAATTTCTGAAGGATCATGTGACACTGAAGACTGGAGTAATGGCTGCTGAAAATTCAGCTTTGCCTTCACAGGAATAAATTACATTTTAAAATATTTGAAAATAGAAAAGGGTTATTTTAAATTGTAATAATATTTCACAATACTACTGTTTTACTTTTGATACACAATACATTTTTTTAAAAATGTTGCAGACCCCAAGCTTTTGAATGGTAGTGTATGGTAGTGAAATATGCATTCTGCATGTCAAGGACACAATCAGCTACTATATCTTTATTTTTAATAGTGGTCAGCAATGCTTGGTTGGAGACGTTGCTGTCAGCAATTGATGCTTTACCAAAGGAAACTATCAGGCAAGAGGTAATGGCAGCTGCAGTATTTCTCTTGTCTGTCATTTCTATACCCATGGGATATGCCATAGAAATCAGCTATCAGTGTGAATTAAAATTCAGTTTGCTTTGATTGTTTGCACAGATCCTGAGTCCTCTATTATCGAAGCATCAGCTCTCCCAGTCGGTTCCGGCACGTCTGGCCAGCTGTCGCATCTTAGGAAAGGTTGTTGGCAAATTTGAGTCCTCAATGTAAGTTCTAAAGTGGAAAAGCCACATGACCAATCAAATAAGAGGACTGGAACAACCTATTATATGATATTCCTAATATAGATTAATTTTCTTTTTAAAGTGATGTTTAAGTTGAAAACCTTAAAATACACTTTGTGTCCGTTATTTGCTGACTTAAAATGTCTACCATGGCTTCTCTCTGCAGAGTGAAGAAAGACCTTTTGCCACTGATCAGGTCATTATGCCAGGACGTAGAGTACGAGGTGCGCGCCTGCATGTGCCGCCAGCTGGAGAACATCACCAGGGGAATTGGGTAAGTAGAGAGACGTTAAAAAGAACATTTTGTTATTTGAATATCTAATGCTGCCAAATCTAAATGACTTATTCCTATGTGGAATAATAGGAATTAAATAGAAAAACAGAGTATATTGTATCATTTAAATTGTAAATAACAGGTATAGTGTATATTATTTTTTTTGTGTAGTTTTTGTATACATTTTTCAGTTTACGAGTATTTATTTTTGCCACTTCTTTTGAATGTGAGACATTTTCTCTCACATATTTAAACCAAGGGATTAGAGGTGAAGTTCTTCACAATGTGACTGAAGCTTAAACTTAAAGGAGACATATTATGCCCCTTTTTACAATGTTTAATATAAGTCTCTGGTGTCCCCAGAATGTGTCTGTGAAGTTTCAGCTCAAAATACTCCACAGATCATTTATTATATCATTTTGAAAATGCCTATTCAACCCTCAATGGACACCTTGGCAATTGAATCGCCATTGGCTAGTATATTTTTTTGTTTACTCGCCAGACTGAAATACTATATATATATATATATATATATGCTCGAACTGATTCGCTGAAATCAAAACAGGGACGATAATAGGCGAGCACCAGCCAATGAGATTGTCATTTGTGCATTAGTTCCGCCTACTACAGGAAAACCCGGCAGTTCTTAAAAGCTGAAGAATTCCAAAGGAATTTTTACAGGAAAATACAACAAAGTATATCGTTTACGTGTAGCGCATCAATTCTGCATGTTATGTAAGACACACGCTCGCTCTCGCTCTTTGCTCACAGTGAGAGAAAGCGACGGCGAGTCGTGCGCCTTCACACAAGTAACACATTACGGCAAATACACAAACACAGGTGCGCTGCGCATCCATTCAAATGAACTGAAAAATATCAGATCACTTGACAGAGAGTGAAACTCTGAAGCGCTCAGTCAGAGTGTTCTGTGAGTGAAAATATATCTGTGCTAATCATATACTCAGCCTCTAACTCACACACTGGCGAGTAAAATCTGAGAATTGATTAGCCATTGGCTAATATTAGACCTCATTTAGTCGCCCAGAGTGAAGATTTAGTCGCATATGCGAGTGATTTACTCACAATGTAGAGGGTTGCTATTTTGAGTGGAAGCAGAGGCACGCTGTTTTTCGGGCCTGTCTCTTTAAATGCAAATGAGCTGCGGCTCCCCACCCCCTTTTCCAGAATAGAGCTGCGCCATGACAGCTCGTACTTGCTAAAAACATCTGTTTTGGTTCTGATTATCATGATTATCGTGCTGAAATCATGCATTTTAAACCATATGAGTTTAAACTTCTGATATATGGTTTTCTGAGTGCACACATCCGAAGCACACGGACAGAAAGCGGCTGTCACAGCATGGGAGTACTAAATTAAGTTCTCATTCACACACAAGTTTACGTTAAAAACACACATGAGTAACAAAAAACAGTCGGTTATGTCTGTGAAGGTAAACTGCTGGTAAATAAATCGAATGTTTATTTTAGATCTAAATAGTGTTCTGTGCTCGTCTGTGCAGCCAATGACAGAACAGTTAGCATGTTTTGCTCAAACTTTCGCCACGGCATTAGAACTAGTACACCGTTGTCGCTTGCGAAAACACAATAACGGCGCTGTGGGTGTAAACTTAAAGATAAAGGGGCGGTAATATTATAATGAGATCCCTTTGCCATGTCACCAAGGGAGCGAAATCAGATGCGCTCGTTTTCTCAGATGCTTCCCAAAAAGGCTTCCCAAAACAAAGTTACTGGGTTTATCTTTTTCATGTTTCCTTGGTTGGTAGATGCACTAGGAACCTGATTATAGCACTTAAAACCTGGAAAAGTCAGATTTTCATGATATATCACCTTTAAAGACTTTGGGATATTCTGTTAGAAATAATGTCTCCGGTGAACATGTCCGTGTACAGTATCAGTATGGATCATAAGACTAGTTTGTCTATATTTGCTCTGTCCCAGATTGGACCACACTAAGGTTGAAGTGCTCCCTGAACTGGTTGAGCTGGCCCAAGATGAAGCCAGTACTGTGAGACTGGCAGCTTTCGATACCATCATCAACCTCTTAGAAATGTTTGACAGTGGTAAGCCACTCACAGTTAATTGAATGAATTTGTTTCTCATATTATTTGTTTTTCTCATATTACATTTTATTAAAACAAAAATGACAACCATTAATAATGTAATAAAAATACTCTTCATATGTGGATAAGCATGTAGTTGATATCCTTTCTTTGAGTATCTTTAAAAAAAAATGAAGCTCGTTTTTAATGCAAGAAAAATGTAAAACAATAGTTTTTTTATGCACTGGTAAATTTAGAAATTTCAGGCAATTTTGCTTTTCTTCTTTAAGACTAATGGAAAGAAAACATCAAAAAAAGACACATTTAAGTGTTTATTGTATTTAACTTTACCTATTTGTGTCAGTAGATTTCAGTTACAATACATATATTTTAAAGACAGTTTTTCAGTTTTTCTGGCTATTGACAGTATTTTCTGATTTATAATGTGATAAAAAGATATATTCAAAATCTCCTGAATGACAAAATGAAACATGAATTTTAAACCTGGCTTTATCCAATGTTCATATTTCTGTTCTGGAATTGTATGCAAATTGGCGTGTATTTAATTAGATAATGACTTATTTGCATATTTAAACAAAATTTCAGAAAACTTGTAATACAAACAATTGTCTTAATGTATACTGTGATTAATCAACTGAGGAAGTATGGTGATATCTATTCAGATTTGTGGTTAAAATGTTTACCCTTTTCACCTGAAGTGTCTTGCTTTAAGGGATATTACCAATGTTAATATCACCTTTTCTGCTGTGGAAATCAGACAATTTGAAATGTAGTTAAATTACAGAGAAACAGAGAGGTGTGAAAACATTTGCACTTCCTATTATTTCACAGAGTACTGTTTGAAACACATGATGCGTACCTGCTCATAACATCATACACAGCTTTTTTTTTATTTACATATCTTAAGTGCTTTATTTTGCAGGCTGGGACATCAGATTCAGATACTGGCATGTGGCTTCTTTGTGAAAAGATGTTGAAACTTGTCTCACACTCTTTCTCTGTCATCCTCTCACCCTCCCTTCTTTTCTGTCACCATTTTTCATAGATGACAGAACTTGTGTCATATTTCCCTTGGTGAAGGCATTCTGTGAAAAATGCTTCAAAGGGGATGAGGCAGTGCTGGCCTCCTTGTCCTTCCAGTATGGAAAGCTTTGTCATGGGCTCTCAGGTGACTGTCCGCTTCCTTTTTATGACTGTCTGAAATGTTTCAGGATTACAGTCATGACATTAGGATTACAGTATCTTTTCAGTACATTGTATCTTTTATTTGAGCAGAGTCTTTTACTGACGAGCAGCACCTCTGGTTTCTGGAGTTTTATAAGAAGTTGTGCTGTCTGGGTTTGCAGCATGAAAATGGGCATTGCGAGAGCCAGCCCTACCCACTAGAGCTGGAGAACAAATACGCCCTAGTGCGCAGGAACTGTGCATACAATTTTCCTGTGAGTTTTCTTGCCTTAAGTTACATCCATAACTGTTTCGTTCTGTTGTCTTTAAAGGTGAAATGTGTATTGTGCAGTGTTAAGGTACTTTGTCCTATCCCAGTTTAATATACAGAGCCATTTCAAGAGTGTAAACACTGTTGCTCAGTGGTGCTTTTTAAAACATTACACTACATGCCAAAAGTTACATTTCAGTCAGATTAAAGCAATAGTTTGTCTTTTTAAAAATGTCATGTACAGTAGGTGCTCAAATCATACCAGTCTGATTTTCGCAAAGACGGACTAGTAGACCTACTGTAGATAACACAGCCATTGCTTGGTCTTCAGTCAGCATGTAAACACATTAATCAGAATACAGATGGATTTGGTGTTTTGCACTTGCTCCAAAAGACCAAGGAGACATGCAATGTGTATTTAATTCTTCAAATATTCAATCCAGGAGATGCCCTGCAGTTTATTGTAAGTCTTAATAAATACTTTTGTTTAGGCATTGCTTGTTAAAAGCTCTAAAGATACTTGTTTTTTTGAAAAGTCTTAATTTTTCAGAAAGATTTTATGATTTGAAGGCCTTTTGGCCAAGCAATATTTTCAGGCAGTGTAATCTATTTTTAACGTCTGTCAGTGGAGGCAAAGTCGTCTAGCTCATTTGAGGAAATTAGACCTCTGACTTGTCCATCATCACTGTCTGAAGTGGTCCTTTGTTGTTAGTGTGGTTATATATAGCTGCAGTCACTCAGAATAAGTTTGCGAACAGTCTGAGATGTAGGTGGCTGAAAGATATGTCTAAGAAACCAGTCGCTTTTTAAGAGGGACACAAAAGCATGATGAAAGTATCATAACAGTGGTCTTCATGACTTAGGTTATATATAAGTTGTTATTCACTGATAATATGTCCTTCCAGTGGGCTTCTCTCAGTAACATGTCATGAATGTGGTAATATCAAGATTTTTTTTTGATTGACAAATTAAATTGTATTCTGTTCCTCTTGTATTTTTGGAACACTTGAAATATAGCAAACTACTGTAGTTTGTAAGATTTTTTAAAAATGTTTTTCTAACCAAGGCTGTATTGATTTAATAAAAATACAGTAAAAACTGTAGTACTGTAAAATATTATTACAATTTTACAGTTTTCTATCTGAATATATTTTAAAATGTAATTTATTCCTGTGATGACAAAGCAGCCATTATTCCAGTCTTCAGTGTCACATGATCCTTCAGAAATCATTCTTATATACTGATTTTGATGAAGAAACTTTTCTTATTATTATCAGTGTTGGAAACTGTTGTGCTGCCTAATATTTTTGTGGAAACCGTGATGTTTTTTTTTTTTCAGGATTCTTTGATGAATAGAAAGTTCAAAAGAACAGCTTTTATTTGAAATATATACAATATACAGTATTTTAATGTTACTTTCTTGAATAATTTATAAGCATATTGCTGTGTCTCTGGAGTCTTGTCTGTAGATTTTCTACTCTGTATTTATTTGCAGGCCATAGTGTTATTTGCCGATCCAAACCACTTTCTGTCTGAATTATATCGTACTTTCTCAAGTCTTTGTCATGATCCTGAGATTTCAGTACGGAGGACAGCAGCTGGTGGTTTCCATGAGGTAAAAACTCAGAAACCCATTTAAACATATTTTTTGTCATAGTACACAATGTGACTCACATTTTGACAGGTAGCAGTGCCTCAGTTCAGAATGTACAATACCATCTTTTCTAATCCCTCTGCATTAGGTGGTCAAATTACTGGGCCCAAATGTGCATTACATACACAAAGAGCTAATCACTTTGCTGCAGGATGACTCGTTAGAGGTGAGACCTGCATAAAGGTTTGTGTGTGTGTGTGTTTATTAAAAGAGCTTTCAGCTGTCTGTACAGCACAGTCATTTCCTTGGCACACTGTGCTGTGTGAGACATGGCAACTTTCTTCACAGAAAGATTCAGTCTTTCTCAAAACCTCTACTGACCACTGAGTTCACATGAACAAATAGCTGTCTGACCATTCAAAACCCCATCCTCGCAATGCCAACTGAGCTTATGTAACTTTTTTTATTTGGATGCCCATTAGTTAGACAAGAAATTCCCTTCTGGAGTGTGTGGGAAGCAGAGAAATACAATTATTTGGTTCTTTCTTTGTAATGTATTAACAAAAATGAACTACTGTACCTGTAGACCTTAAAGGTAAAGTGTGTAATTTCTGCACCACTTGAATGGAATTGGAAAAAAATGGCAGGTTTTCCAAACATGCCCCCATTTGCAATTTATCGCAATTAGATTTGATATGTGAAAAAGTCACCTTTAACACCAAACTACCAAAAATTCTTTATAGACACCAGACATACCATGTCTGCATGTGTGTATGAAGCTGTGTGCACAAGTGTGTGAGCCTTTGCGGAGGTTGCATGCAACTGTGTAGGATGAATGAATGCATTGAACCTCCCTAGCTAAGGCTAGAGTGTGGTATTGTTTATTCTGTCATGATCCTCTGAGCAGTGTTAGTCACACACTGCATTAGCATCCACTATAGTGCAAAGCTCCCCGAGCCATCAGACATAGTGATTTTCATGATTAATGATGATGGAATCCGAACATTATAGGCTATCTATTATAGTCAGTGATCTCACCCCAGCTTATCTTCAATTTTAGAATCTCTTCCTGGGGTTGGTAGAAATGACGAGAAGGCTTTGTTGATTTGAAGGGCTTAGATTAACATTAGCTCAATGCTTTTAAATCTGCAGGTATTGGATGCTCTGGTGAACAATCTTCAAGAGACTTTAGAGCTGGCCACTTCCAGAGGGGAGGGAGCAGGACCTGAGAGCAAGGTATCTGCTTAACTTTTTGATGCTTTTAGTTAGCATTTTCTTTTGTGACTTCTTTTGATGTGTCCTTGCTGAATAAAAGTATTAATTAAAAAAAAAATTTCACTGACATCACTCTCAACCTTACAGCAGGTGAATATTCCAGACTTGGTGCCTGGTTTGGTAGCAGCAGAACAGAAAGCGGCATCCTCGCTGCACTGGCGGGTTCATGAGAAACTCCTGCAGTGCTACTCCTGTCTGCCCCGTGTCATTTCTGGAGACCAGATCTACTTCCGCTTCTTTCAGAGAATGTTCAGCATCATCACTACCAATGTAAACTTCTTACACACTCCTTCCTGTACATTCTCTCAATTTTAAAGGGGTGGTTGATTGCGATTTCACTTTTTTTAACATTAGTTAGTGTGTAATGTTGCTGTTTGAGCATAAACAATATCTGCAAAGTTACGAAGCTGAAAGTTCAATGCAAACGGAGATATCGTCTTTTAAAATTCTGGCAGTTTAATGCCTACAAAAATACGGCTGATAGGACTACAACGAGTTACACAATCACAATCCCAGATAAACCCCGTCCTCGGGAAAAGGCAGCAAAGGGGGCGAGGCCATGCTGCGCTGCTTTAGAGAAGAGGAAGAGAAAACTAGAGGTGCACGTAAAAATCTATTCATATATGAATCGCGATTCTGTCTTCTAACGATTCTAATGGATTCACAATTAGATACAATACAACTGGAGCACATGCCGCTGAGGAGAGGGGCGGGACAATTAGACGAGCACTAGAGGCGGTTTAGCCAATCACAACACACTGGGCTAGCTAACCAATCAGAGCCCATCACCTATTTCTGAGGGAGGGGCTTCATAAAAACAGGAAAAGATCAGCCCGTTTCTCAGAGAAGGGACAGAGAGGTGTGGAATAAAGGTAAATTATGTGAAAAATAATGTGTTTTTTAAAAAACGAAGCATTAACTCATGTTAGACTGCCCCCCATAAACACAATCAAGCTTAGAAAAAAAAGTGAACCACCCCTTTAAGTGGCTATTTCATCTGTCCTTCTGTTTACTCTGTTCTAGAATGTTCTACCAGTCCAGCGGGAAGCTGTCAGGACGTTATGCGTGTTCTTGCGCTATAACCGCAAACAGGAACAGCGTCAAGAGATAATCAGCAAAATAAAGCAAGGTAAAAAAGCAGGATCTGCTTATTTCACATTTTTGTGTATGAGATTCTGTGATTCAGTTTGTCAGGACTGTATTCTCTTCTGAATTTAAGAACTTGCTCAAGGTAGAAGCTACTGGAACAGGCTTCGGTATCTGGACCTGTGTGAAATCACAATAGACCTCTTCTCCAAGTCGTATTTTTGTAAACATTTCCTTATTCCAGCGCTTGAGTTGGTCAGTGACCCTGTAGCCAATGTCAGGTGAACAGCTCAGATTTTTTTAACATCTGTTATTGCATCCTTGTTTACTGTGCTTTGACTAATGCTCTAACGAATGACTGCTTATTGTTTGTTTTATTAAACCAAAAATAAACCTTCTGGCAGGTACAAGCTCTGTTATATGTTACCCAAACTGAGATCCACCATCAAGCCAACAGACAAACATCTACTTCAGCAGCTGGAGTTCTGTGTGCGGAAATTGTTGTGCCGTGAGAAGGACAAAGATGTAGTGGCAACTTTGCGCAAGGTGAGGCTCTCATTATTAAAATAGCAAAGTTTTGGTAAAATTTGATGGGCAAAAAATGGTTCATGTATGAAGCAAAGCTCACAGAGAAGTTGCTTTCAAACCAAACAGCTTTCTGTTGATCAACACAGTGTATTTGCATGATCAACTTAAACCCATTGCAAAATCTGCACGAGGAAATCTCTTACCCTCACACGGATTCCACTTGAAATGGCAGGATTTTGCCTATTAAAAACAGTAAATGTGATTGCACCTTAAGTCTTTTGTGAAGATTTTTAATAGATTGAAAATCAGTTAATTAATAGATGTAATTAAATCTTCAAATGGTTTTATTATGTTTTCTTAGACAGTTCTGGAGCTTGACAAAATGGACATAACAGAGCCGGTATGAAAGATCTGTTACTTTGACCCTTTCAGTTTAGTTGTTTTTGAGTAGTTTTTATACACCATCTTCTTTTTATGAACACTGTGAGCTCATTTTGTTTCACTGTTAGTTTTGAAATAAATGTTCATATTTATAGTATCATAAAAGGCATGAAAGAGAGCTTTTGGATCAGAAAAAGGAGAAGGAGGAGACTCTTTTACTTGAAATGGTGAGTGATTTACCCTTTTTTAATTATTTTATGAAGGCAGAAAGTTCACTTATAATGGTAGTCATGTTTTTTTTTTTTTTTACACCAAAACAATTTTATTTCTCCAATTGATCTGTTGGCTGATTGGGCCTGTAAAGACAAATAGGTTTTCATTATGTGTAAATGTAATGTTTTGATGTCAGAACAAAGACGACAAAAATATAATTTTAAACATTACTCCTGTGTTTGTGGTTTTGTAACACAGGAACTGCTAGAACGACAGCAGAGTGAGGCAAAACTAGCTGGAGATAAACAGTCAGAGAAGAAACGTGAGTGACGTTCATTCATGCACCCTCTCTCTCAAACTTTGGATGGTTTACTAGCTTACATATGTAAATTTCTCAAATGTATGTGGGCGTTTACTTGTAATGTTTTTGTAATGCAGAAAGAGACAGCAAGTCAGGCCTCTCTGGTAGTAAAGGAATGTCAGGATCTACATCAGGAGCAACATCATCCTCTTCTGCTGGTTAGCATCCTTCCTGATGTACATTAATGTTAACTGAATAGCAAAAACATTGCATTTGTTTTACTATATACACTACAATTCAAAAGTTTATAGTCAGGAATTTCTTTTTAAAGACATTAATATAGCAATGAAGCATTAAATTGATCATAAGTTTATTTAATTTTATTTTTTTCAAATAAATGCTGTTCTTTTGAACTTTCTATTTATCAAAGAATACATGGGAAGTTCAGCAAATGCTTGAGCAGCAAATCAGCTAATTGAATGATTTCCTGAAGAATCCTGTGACATTGAAGACTGGAGTAGTGATGCTGAAAATTCAGCTTTGCCATCACAGGAATAAATTACGTTTTAAAATATATTAAAATAGAAAACAGTTACTGTATTTTTTATCAAATGCAGCCTTGGTGAACATAAGAGACTTATTTAAAAAACATTTAAAACATTTTTTACCAACCTCATACTTTTAACAATAGTGTACATTAACATTTTTTAATTTAAATTTTTTTTTTTTTTACAAATTACATAAAATGTAAAAATTTTCTAAAGGTTTTCATAATTGAAATAGTCCCCACTGATCAGCTTTGCCATCACAGGAATAAATTACGTTTTAAAATATATTAAAATAGAAAACAGTTACTGTATTTTTTATCAAATGCAGCCTTGGTGAACATAAGAGACTTATTTAAAAAACATTTAAAACATTTTTTACCAACCTCATACTTTTAACAATAGTGTACATTAACATTTTTTAATTTAAAATTTTTTTTTTTTACAAATTACATAAAATGTAAAAATTTTCTAAAGGTTTTCATAATTGAAATAGTCCCCACTGGTAAGCTATTACTAAATATAATGTAAAAACTATAATTTTCTGTAAAGCTGCTTTGCATTCACCGATTTGCATCGTGAAAAGCGCTATACAAATAAAAAAGAAAAGAAAAAAAACAAGAATTGGAAGGTGCTTATTTTCCCAACACTGATAATGTTTGCAGGTAAGGAGATGCGGAGGGCCAAACTAGCTCGCAGTCGTTCCCTCAGCGGTCATCCCACGACAACCAAGATGACAAACCCAGACAAATCCTTGTACGTAACACAATCATCTCATCGCTCTTGTGTTGCCATCACAGTGGATTGCACCAGTTCTGTCTGGATTTTGAATTTAGTCATGAAATTGCCATGACCCATCACCAGTAGTTACATAGCGTGTTTATACTCACCATTTTCTCTTTAGAAAAGTGAAGGATTCAGGAAGTTGCCCTGGATCAGGAAAGAGCGCTATGTTACCATTAAATGGTATTTAATAAAATTTCATGATTTATAATGACGTGCTCTTTGCCGCAAACGTTCTGTCGTTTACCTGTACTCGTTTGTTTTCCAGATGATAACCTGCGACCTCACCACTTCAATGTTGCTTCATCAATCTCCTCCACCCCATCCTCCTCCTCCATGCCTGTCCTGATCCGCAGCAACACGAGCAGCTCTGTGGATCACCGGAGTAACGGGAATAAAGACACACAGTCTAGGAAGCTCTCTGTGTACGTAGTGTGATCCTGTACTTTTTGAACTTCATCTTATAATCTTTTATTAATCATGACATTTTGGGTGTAATCATTTTATGATTATAAGCTGGAATGATTCAGCCAGACTGAACTTGACCTCTGTAATGCTTTTCTATTCGTGTCTGACAGACAGCGGAAGTCAAATTCGTTTGGAATGCAGTCTGGGAGAGAGTGATAACCACCTTGCCTTCTGACTTAAAGCCCCTTTCTACAAGACTTTTCATTCTGCAGCAGCAGTGACCCTCCATTTTGATGTGTCCATTCTCTTCTATACCAGAAACGGCTTAAGATATGCTGGGGCATCAATTAAGGTCTGCATTGATCCATCTCTGCCTTATTTCACACGGAAATTCACACCATACATCACAAAATGAAAACGAGAGTTGAGGAGTAATTGAATGTATTTAATTTACTGCCTCATTTATTTAGTTTCTTGTATTATAGCATGCTTTGCAAATTCTGTTTTATATTTTTGAAGTGGCTAAGAGAAAAAGAAGCACTATGTATTTTTATGATTGAAGAGTTTTGGAACTCTCCATCCCATCCCACCAATGAGACTGTGCCTGGTGCTGCCCAGCACCTGATTGATTAACGCCAACATCTTAGTACCCAATGAATAAAATTCATGTTGAATATGACGCACTTAAATGAGTTGCATTTGAACAGCCTGCTAAAGTGCTGATATGAATACTATGCTGGTACTGACAAATCTCCAGAAGAACAAAAAAACAGATACTTTTCACTGTGTGGGTAACACTCCATCACGGCATCAATAAATCTCTTAAATCAACCATTTCAGAAAAAACTATACATTTACAGTTGTTTACTTATCAGACATTGTATTGTTATTATATTATACGGATATTTTTGTTTTAAAACATTAAAAACACTATTCTGTTACATTACACAAATAAATATTACATTCTAAGTTGGTTATTCAAGCAAAACAACAGGTTGGTAGTTTCTCTATACATAATTAGTTCTTAGTTGGGTCGACCACACGTCCTATGTAAAGGATGCATTTTGTGGCCTCATGGTAGATGACAAAAATGAAGGGTCGGTTGAAAGTGAGCCTGGGAGGAAGAGGGCTCGTAAAGAGATTTCTGGAAGCATCGGCCACTGAGCCTCCAGTCTCATCCACTTCCACGGTGACCTTCTGTACCACCTGGAATCAAGAGGCATTGGTCAAATGCATGCTGGTATATCTCATCTTTTACTATATATATATTGTATGATATATTAATGTCACACACACACACACGCATATATAGGTTGTGGTCAATAAGAGTCCAATGTCAGTAAAGGACATTTATAATGTTAGATTTTTTTTTTCTCAAATAAATGCTGTTCTTTTGGATGTTTTATTCATGAGCACCAAATCAGCATATTAGAATGATTTCTGATCATGTGACATTGAATACTGGAGTAATGGCTTCTGAAATTGAGCTTTGCCAGGAATAAATTACATTTTAAATATTATATGTTATTATATATTGTAAATTTATTTAGCGATATTACTGTTTTTACTGAACAAATTAATGCAGCCTTGGTGAGCATAAGGGGCTTCCTTCAAAAATATATTAAAAAAAAAATCTTAACCTCCCATTTTTGAACAGTAACGTATAGTATATATATACACACAAACACATCAATGTTATGTCAATACTAGTTAAAATCATGGTTAATGTAACTGGTAGACATGAAAAATGCATTGACATGAAAATCTTCCTTGTATTGTTGGAAAGATTTCACACCTCTGACAGTTTCAGGCCTTCATCGCTGCTGATTCCAGAGAGATCTGCAGTACTCCCGAAGATCTCTTTAATGCCCAGGCTGGGCAGACTCATACTCAGTGAATTAGGCTGTTTCAATGAAAATCTGGGCAACTGAATCTCCAAATTCCTGAGGACAGAGATAAAACTGATCTTTAGAGATCAACAGAAATGTGTCTTGAAAATTGCAGGGTAACTATAAGCTGTTTCAAGTATGTCATATGATTGCTCACTTTGGCTGCTCAGCATGAGTTTGATGGAGATTTTTTGAGTCATTTAAAAAAACACATTGATTTGTGAAAATGTGAGAGACTGATTACGTGACTCACGTCTTTTTCAGCTTTGAAACCCATCGGCGAAACACTTCACCAGTCATGGATTCATCAATGTAGGTGTAGTCCACATCTTCATCTGGAAGAAGGACAAGCATGGCAATGTCCTCCTCACAGGGCAGTTTCAAAATGCCAACCTTTAACGTGGGGTCATAGGCCAGGTAGTATTTGCCCGTACGGAGCATCATGGGCACTTGTACAATCTTATACTTGTTCACATAGAAACGCTCCTCTTGGGTGAAGGTAACATTGAAGGGTTGCAGCCACTGACCTGTTAAAGATCAAGAGATTAAGATTAGCTTTTCACATTCACTTTTTTGAAACTTCTTATCTGCCTCTCTGGAATACCTGTCAATCATGGCATTCAGTGGTCAGATGTTCGTCTTGTTGGTTGTGTACATGGTAATGGACTGTTTTTCTTAGCAGTCAGGTAAAATTTTAACTCCGATCAATATTTCATATCTTTATATTAATTTATTCGGTAAACAGCCATGCAACAAGCAGGATAATGTACATTATCCCTTACATATCTGATATTAGCACATATTAGAAAACAAAACATGCTGATATAGAAGAATAATAGCAACTACTACTTGAAATATTAAGATAAAATATTAATTATGACATTATTCACTTGTTTTCTCCTCACCTGTGAAGAAAGCCGCACTGATTAACATCGCCATGCTTTGTGGATCTACGTTCTCCACCACATCTTTGACCTTGTCCCCTGTTCGGCCTCTTACGTAATCATCGATATTCCCTTTGGCCTGCTGTCCATTGGCATAATTCACATTTTGAACATCTGCATTATAAAACTGCTTAACCTGGTTGCCAAAGCTGTCATCTGCCTTGATGTCTTGCTTCATGAAGAGGCCTATGGCCTGGATTTGAGCAGTGGTCTCCCTCAGCTGCTTGAGTAGGGTCTGAATCCGTTCTGGCTCTCCATCTTTCTCCATGGAGGCCACACCTATACCCTCTAGCAGCTCGGTGCGTGTAGCCCCACCAGCCCCGGCTGCTAATGTGGCTAAGGCCAAGGTAGCCCCAAGGGTCGAAACGGCTACATTGTCATCATTTGAGCTAGCTATCTTGCTGTACAGCTGGGTAGCAAAGTCGGCATTCCTATCAGCAAGCTCTTCAACATCTGGGGTTTGCCCAAGAACGGTCACAGCAAGGAGAGATGCTTTGACCAAGAGGGAGAAGATGCCCATTTTCATGATGCTCTGGTGAAAAACATTTACAGGCATATTATTTTATTTATCATATAACAATAATAGCTACATTATCTCATATAATAGGAAATACTAGGCAGAAAAATCTAATTGCTGAAATGTAACAATTTATTGAACCTTTAGACAAAATATAAAACCACATAAAATAAAAACGTTGCATATGTGTTTTATATATTGTATCATTTTTTAACAGGCTTTTATGGCTCATGGTATAGTGAGAATATGGAGCTCACACTCGAGGAGAATAAAAACATTAATTTGACTAATTTTATTACAAAACATTTGCAGTTTAGTCCAGATGTTATTTATATGGCATAAAAGGAAGGTCAAATTCTGATAAGCTTGTAACTCAATTAGATTTTTATAACTGTAAACATATGCCGACTGCTTACATAAACTGCATATAAATGTCTATTATTATTTTGGGGACAAAAAATGCAATGCAATACAATGATTGAGAGATTTACAAACGTTCCTCAAAAGCCTGATCTATTATATGTGACACTAACATTTTGACATGTTAAAAAATAAAATAAAAATAATGGATAATGGTATGGATAATGAAATAAACCTAAGTTGCTCCAGTTCAGTAAATGCTCATCTTAAAATATTATTAACAATATGAAAGTAATTCTTACGTTTACTTTACAAAAATCATTAAGAGTTTAAAGACGCATGTACCATGACCTGAAGGTGGACTAAAAGAATTCTAATAAAAGGCCTTTTAGTTGCTTAAACGTGTCTATCAACTATCAATCGGTGTGTAGAAGGAATATTGTGCACTTTTTTTCAGCAAAGTTTAACATGCTGATCATTTGAATGCCTTAGAAATGTATGTAGCATATTGAAAGTGATACAATGGGCTTTATAAGGACCAATTCATAATTATATATTATTAATAACGAAATGTAGTATATGAGATCCCACAATGGAAAACACACAACTGACTGTCATTATTTTGATAAGGAGCTGATGAATAAGCATAATTCTAATCTTTGAACTTTTGACAGGTCATAGCTCTAACCAAGTAACAGGATTTGCAACTGATTTGTTGCAACTGAAATCTCAAATACTAAGATATTTTTATAGTTTTCAAAACCAAATGGCAGCTGTAGCTTACTAACAACGCAGAACGTTATGTAATGACTGCAGAAGAGTAAGAAGCCTGTCATTCTCATCACAGCCAGAAATAACAGTTAAACAAAACAGCGTCGTTTGAATTGGGATTAAAGAAAGTATGTGAATATCTGCAATAAAGCTCGTGCAGTCATGCAGTGTGTTGACAGTAAGGTTTCTTTCGCACTGCGCTAACACACCGGGGCTCTGTTATCAAACATTAATGTTAAAAAAAATCAATACAGTGTTCAACATTACAAAATCATGTGCTTTAGATTCTACAGAAATGATGCACAGAGATTTAAGTAGAAATATAGAAAAATATGGTGGAGGCCAAACTACTTACAAACTTCTGTTTCGACGTCAGTGTCTAATATCCTTGTTAAACGACTACAGACAGGAATGTTTCAAAACCATTCACTGCAAACACTGTAATTAAATCGACTAAACTAACAGTTCACATGATGTCGCCATCAATAACAAACCGTACATACGGAGATTACGCAACATCCGCCCTTTGCTCATTCTTGATGAAGTACGCAGTTTACGCATGTCCTAATCGCACATTTGGTATATAAACAAACACCAATGCTTGTACTGCTATTTTGTACACTTTATTTCAGTAATATTTATTTTTGCTTTGTGTTATTTTTTTGACAACGGATTGGTTGCGAAAGTAAAATAATAATAATAATATAATAACAATAACATTTTATATAGTGAGTGATATTAACGAACATGTTCCAGTATACAATTAATATGATTAATTGTGAGTATCCTTATAAATTTGCTAATAGGGTGTACACGAGAATAACAAATTATTTTCTTACTAGTTTTGTATGTTTGACCATTTAATTAAAACTATATGCAGATA